TATAATGGTTACAGATTGAATTGTGTCCTCCCCAAAAAGATATGTTGAAGCCCTAACCCCATGGTACCTGTGCATGTGTCCTTGGCTGGAAATAGAGCTTTTGAAGATGTTATCAGTTAACATGAGAACATCCTGGAGAAGGGAGGATCCTAATCTAAGCTGTTGTTGTTGTTAGGTGCCACCGACTTGGTTCTGACTCATAGCGACCCTATGTACAACATACAACATACACTGCCAGGTCCTGTGCCATCCTCACAATCCTTGTTATGCTTGAGCCCATCGTTGCAGCCACTGTGTCAGCCCATCTCATTGAAGGTCTTCTCACTGAATCTAATCTGAGTGGTGTCCTTATAAAAGAGAAGAAGAGACACAGAGATATGCACCCAAAGAGAAGACAGCATGTGAAGACAGAGGCAAAGATCAGAGTGATGAATCTACAAGTCAGGGAAAACCAAGGATTGCAGGGAGCCATCACAAGCTAGGAAGAGGAAGGGAAGGATCTTCCCGTAGAGTCTTCAGAGACAACATGATCCTGCCAACACCTTGACTTGGACTTCTAGTCTCCAGAACTATGAGACACTAAATTCCTGTTACTTTAAGCCATCCGGTTTGTCATACTTCATTATGCCAGTCCCAGGAAACAAATACAGTCAGAGTCCCATGTACCTGCGAAAAACAAACATAGATTCTCTCTGGAAGAACCCACCTTCAAACCATGCCTCAGAGAATTCCCACAGATGACACTCTAAAGAACATGTCCTCACCCTTAAAACATCACACAGCCACAAAGAAGTTGAGGCACCATGAGCAAATGCAAGCCAGCAGAAAAAACTAAGAGTGGAATCAGAGCCATCACAAAGTGTTGTTGTTGGTGGTGTTAAGTGCAGTCGAGTTGGTTCTGATTCGTAGCAACCCTACGCACAACATAACGAGCTACAGGAATTAGTACATGGAAGCTTCAAAGTTTCTGGTAATGTACTATTGCTTATGCTTAGTGGCAAATGCATGGGTATTGGTTGTGTTATTCTTGATTCTTCATACATATTTTATAAATATTCTTCTGTGTCTTTTCAATAGGTAGTAAAAGCAATTAAAAATTATAACAACGCCAATTTTCCTTAATCACAAGTTTGAGCAATGCCAACTAAAATGCCAGCAGCATCTGTTGAGGAAATTGCAATCTGATTCTAAAACTGATATTGAAGGATAATAGTCCATGAATTCCCATTGCCATCAAGTCAATTTTGACTCATAGAGACCCTATAGGACAGAGTAGAACTGCCCCCGTAGGGTTTCCAAGGCTGGAATCTCTACAGAAGTAGGCTGCCACATCTTTTTTCCCAAGGAGCAGCTGGTGGGTTCTAACTGCCGACCTTCTGGTTAGCAGCTGAGTGCTTAACCACTGTGCCACAGGGATCCTTAGTCCATGAATAGTATGACAATTTTGAAAAAGAAGAATGAAGAGTTGGAGAGTCAGGCTGGGGGCTGTTTTGACCTACCAGGTCGTTAGATATATGTCAAAGCTCTAGTTATAGAAACGGTGTGGTACTGGCACAGAAACAGAAAAAACAGACCACTGGGGCAAAAAAGGGAGCCACCGGGTGGTGCAGATAGTTAATGTGCTTAGCTGCTAACTGAAAGGTTAGAGGTTTGAGTCCACCCAGAAGCACCTTGGAAGAAAGGCCTGGTGATCTACTTCTGAAAAATCAACCATTGAAAACCCTCTGGAGCACAGTTCTGCACTGACACACATGAGGTCACTATGAATTAGAGTCAACTCAATGGCAAATCAAGAAAAAAGTGGGGCAATAGAGAGCCTGGAACCCAACACCTGCCCAAGTGGGGACTTGGCACACGTTATAGAAAGTGTCAGACCTGTGGGAAAGGAGGACTCTGCTAGCAGATGGTAGGAAAACAAACTCACCAGAAGGAGAAAAATGAAGCTGGATCCTACCATAACAAAAGTCCAGAGGAATTAAAACTCTAA